CCAGGTAAATGTCTTAATTCTGCTCTCAACACCTTTAAAACCTACCCAGTGGTAAAAGCACCAAGACCTCTTTGTTCTACGGTGTCTCTTCTTTTTTTTTTTTGATCAGTAGCAAAATGGCCTTAAACAAGTTGAAAAAAAAACCTGCCCCGGGGAAGCAATAACATTGGGGCACCAAAAAGAGCCTCTTCTGAGGTCACAAGAGCAGTGGCCAGGGTCTCGCCAAACCCCTCTGCCACGTACACATCCCAGTTAAACCAGCAAAACCCCCTTGAAAACCACACACCACCGCAGCAGGGACACGCACGCATGCTTTACAGCCCGCCATCAGGGAGGAAGGCTTCAGAGGAGCCGCCCTCCCCGCGCAGACAAATGGAAAAGCTGCCGCAATAAATCCACGGAGACCTCTCTTGTAAAGCGCTGATACCGAATATCAATTTATACTCCTCTCCAAAAGTTAAGGGAAAGCATCACGGCAGGGAAAGCGACACCTAAACTATTTTGATTTGTGTCCCACTCAACAAAAAAATCTCCTCTGAAGCACGTGGCGTCTCCGAGCGTCCCCCCGCGTGCGTGTGTGCCTGGCGACGGCGCAGGGTCCTGCCGCGGCCGCAGCCTTTTTGCCCGGGCTGCCTTTAATAAAGCTCCTGCCAGACGGAAATGGCTCAGCAGGGCCATGAATCACGGCTTCCCATAACATTTAGTAGCAAAGTGCTTTTTTTAAATATGACCAGTTTAACAGGTTAGACAAAATGACTTCAAGAAATGTTATTGTAGGTTCCCTCTGATTGCAGAAAGCCAGGCGGCTTCTGAATCAATTTGACGGTTTATGGTTTCTAAGCTGCGAAAACGTGGGATTTTCTGCCTCGCCCTCGGCGCACAGCCTCAGCATGGCCAAGCTACTTGTCCGTTTTCTTGTGTCTTCCCCAAACGTGCACCCAAAGACCCGGGCCAAGCCCAGCACCAAGGCCTCTGGCCCAACCGGCTGGCAGACACGGCCCTCACGCCGACTCTGGACAAAGCCGACGGCTTCAGCCCAGGCTCCAGCCCGTGACACCGGCCGGTGACACAAGATGCAGAGCGCCCCGCGGCCGCAGCACAAGCCTCCTCCTCCGAACGCCGAGCCGAGGATGTGCCCGTGACCTCTGCAGAGACCACCTCTGGCCCTTCCTTTGGTGCCTCCATCCACACCTCGGTTGCTCACATACCTGCTTGACTCCGGCAAATCACCCCCCCCACACACGATTTTCAGAGATGACTTTTACAACACAAATAGTAGCTCTCTTTCCAGACTACAAAGGAGCGTTAGTAACGATCGATTATCTCAATGTTACAATTACTACAAATTCTGGGATTTCCCGCCCCCCCAGGTAACACCAAAAAAACCCCCAAACGAAGTTCAATTTATCTTGTCATCTGCTCGTGGCCATTCTTTTCAGCAAAGCAGTTAAATCCCACTGCAGCATGTGCTGCAAGGGTCCTTAGGAAATGAACGGTGGAGAAGCACACCAGTTGCTCTGCATCCAATGACATAATTAAATGTTGATTTTTAACCCTGGTTATGACTGTCCCACCTAATTTCCATAATCCTCCTACCTGAATCTCACCTTCCCTTCCTCTGACTTTAAGAAAGCTCTTGCCAGGCAAAAATTCAGCAAAGGCAGCAAGAACGCCAACGGCGTCCAGGCTGCCCAGGCAACGCATCTCCCGCCCCAGCTGGAAGGAGCCGCTCCAGAAGGGGAAGGAAGGTCACTGAGAGCCACTCACGTCCCTGGAGAGACAGGTATTTTCGGACTGTCGCTTGTTTCTTTAAATGAGACTGCTTGTAATTGCTTCACTAAATATTCAGTAGGATTTATGTTATAAAGGTGCAATATGAAACAGCAGTGAAGGTCACACACGCTGATGACACGGGCTTGAAATATCCTTGTACGACTGCACCGTGTGATGTTCCACCCAAGTCCTTTCCCACCCCGTGCTCCTAAGGCCTCACGCTGGCGTCAGAGCCAACAGGCAAGGTGTGGCAGTCACATGATTCCACAAAATTCCTGGTTTGAGGGAAACATCTACAGCCCTCCTGGGAGATCACTGAAGATGCCAGTTGTCACAAAGGAGCGGACAGAAAGCAGTATTTGCTCTTCTAGGCTCATGATGGTGAATTAACAACCATTTAAATGCAGCAGCACTTGCGGACAGAAGCAGTTACTGGAAATCAGCATTGCCTACAAAGACAAAGTTACAACCGCTCTGGCTGCGTTTGTCCAAGACTTCATGAGAGATGGAATCGCAACAGCAGCATTTTTCTTAGTTGTTGCTCAAGAAAACAACCGGCATTTTGATTAATTACAACACTGAACAAAGGACCCTCCCCCTCCAAAACGAATTACTACACTTTATAGCTGCAATCTAACTTTCCGAGCTAAAGCTTGGAACGAGACAGGTCACAGGACGGAAGTTTTCAGCCACTCGAGAAACAAGTCTGCGTCAGGGCTGTCCCCAGGTCGCCAGCACAGACCTCACCAGGTGGCACAGCTGGGGCCCGGAGGGACCTGCGGGTTCAGTTCTGGTACCCCACCCCAGCACCTTTATTTTCGGAGAGGAACTGATACCCTGAAGTGGAGTTATAGGTTCAACGCTTGAGCGTTCACTCGTTATTTGGAAATTTAAGAAAAGTTTTGCACCCACTTTGGACAAATAAAGCGTGCAGCACGCCAGAACCCAGCAGCACAGACTGACTGGGAATATTACCTGTGGAAAGTCGTCTACAGCAATGGGAAGTTGGGGGCTGGCTACCGCAAGGGGAGCTCATGCAGAAAACCACCGCTGCCTCCCCCCTCCCAAAGCCCTGCTGGAACGGGGAGCTGTAACGCTCCCCCTCCTGCACCCTGCAGCCACACGCCAAACGGGCCTATCCTTTCCAACACGACGAAGGCCGCACGCCAGCCCACGGGCAACTATTTCATAGGATGGGCTGAAGAGGGTATTGACACTATTACAACATCTCTCGGGTGACAAACAGCTGCTTCCCTTTTGCTGCGAGGTAAGCACCTGACAGGAGAAACGCGAACGTGTAACGTCAAATCTTCCTCCCCCCGAAGCCACTTCGTGGTTCCTTTCATTCACGGGCCACCACATTTTTGCTTACGTCACACTGCGCATCTGCCCAGAATCTGCACGACAAAGCTATTTTTGGTTCCACTCCTACCTGTTTCACTCCAATTGTAATAAACAAATAAGATAAATTTGAATCTCCATATTTTTAACTACGGCCTGAGGCGTGCAGTCTGAATCCTCCCGACATTTCTAGGCATTCGCCGTCCCTGCAGGCCGACTCGCTGTGGAAACGTGCTCTCGGGCAGGGTAAGGGCCTTTCTTCCCCTGCCCTTTGCTCCACGCTGTTTGCTGGTTTGGAATAGCGCAGCTCTGAGTGACATTTTAATAAAACATGGGGCTAATAAACATTTCAGCAATAGTGCTGGAGAATTGATAATGAACAGATTTATGTCAAATTATTCAATATCTGCCAGCCTTCTCTGCTCTCACACTCCCCAACTGCAAGTCCAACCCCAGTGTCTCAAGCCGCTGGAATGAGACCACCGTTGCCCCGTTTCCCCACCCCTCTGCAACAGGCACACGTTGGAGAGCATCTCCCTTCTCCCCCGCTATTCAGCAGCTCCAGGGAGGGATGACAGCCATTCAGGGGTTAAAGAGAGGCAGTGAACCCCCAGCTAATGAGTAAGAATTCAGCAGGCAGTGTAAGATAAATGGAGCTTTCTCTGCTTCTGCTGGAGTCAGCATGAACTGCGGCCCTGCGGCTTGTTTGTGGCAAATGGAGTGCGCGAAATATCAAAGGGCAGTGATCCAGAAGAAGACCGACTTTGACAAATTTTAAATTGGCCAGAAAGAAAACCAGGAAAAAAAAAAAAAAAAGGAAGAAAAAAAAAAAAAAGAAAAAAAAATTATGCAATTCACTGTGTCCTGCAATCTTGGCTTTCCTGCTACGGTAGGAATTAGCGGCAAAACAACAGCAATGATCACCCGATGTTGGGAGCAATTACAAGCCATCTAAGTGAGATGCTTATCAGTGACTGAAGCTTTTAGAGCTCCCGGTATGTACAGTTGTAAGTGACTTGCTCTTGTGTCGCAGTCATTTTAATTAAAGTGTATGGAGTTTGCCGGGAGTAATTACCCCGTAGAGGAAGAGGGGGGGGAAAAACCCTGAAGAGGCTCCTGCCTTCTCGCATAGGGTGGGGTTGGATTTTTGAGACTCCCTCTTTCTCCCTGTGTTTTTTTCCAGGGATGTTGGTGCAGGCGCCACCGGTGACCCAAGGGTGCTCCACACCCACCCCGGGTGACGGACCCCCTTGGAGGGGCCACCCAACAGTGACTTTAGGGTGCTGCTCTGCTCGCCCCCTTCCTCCACCGCTCCAGGACTTTAAACTCTCCAGCAGCCCTCTTTGTCCGCAGCCAGCGCTCTGCTCCTGGGGAAGGATTCACCCGGCAGTCCTGCACAGAGGACACCGCTTCTTCGCAGAAGCAGCAGGTCGGTTTGTTCGTCGGCGGAGCCGGTGGTTTTTACGGTGGGGCGAAGGGAAAGACTCTCAGAAAGAGCGCTCCCGCCGCAGTGCCATTTATCTGCACGGACCCGAGCTGACTGCTCGGCCTGTGCCTTCTCTAACCACACATCTGATTTCTCCTTCCCCGGGAGGCTCGCGCAGCGGAGAGGCAGCTCTCCCGCCTTGGACGCGGAGGCGCGAACGCCGGCAGGAGGTGTAGCTGTGAGCCCTGAGCACGTAAGGAACCCGACTGCAGCCTTTGAGCGGTGATGTGTGAAACACCTCAGGAGAGCATCTGTTGGGACCCATGGCTTGGTGTAGTCACGCCACCCCTTAAAGTGACGCTGCCAAGTCTAACATAGGTCAAAAGTGAGGTTTTGCGAAAGGCATCTCCTTGCCGCAGCTACAACCACTAAAACTGGTTTCTAATGCCAACAGACACAGGCAGACAGAACACCCATCCATCCATCTGGGCATCTCTGCCTGCTCTCTCACGAAGGAACACGTAAGGTACATGAGCAAGATCTGAACTCAGATAAACCTGCTGCCTTGTGCTGGTCTGCAAAAGCCAAACACCCGCTAACCTGCTTCTTGCCCAGAAAGCAATCGGCTCAGCGAGAGAAAACAAAGAGAGTGTCAAAATACTATCATTAAAAAGAGAGAAAATGTCTTTGATGCTATCAAACATGTCAGTGGGAACCTGCTTTTCGGCAAGCAGTCTGATTCCTAACACTCCCCGCACCCTTGACAATTATTATTCTCTTCCCAAGGCGTATCAGAATGATTGTTTTGTATATAAATTGTTGCGCTGCCATAAATTAAAAAAAGCCAAATAATAAAATGTAACTGCAGCAATAGCCACGATTTATCAGTCATTTGCAGAACACTTTCCCTCCTGAAGGATCCCAAAAGGCTTTATAAATTCAAACCATACCCACGTAGCACGTTTCTTCCACTACTGGAATGTAGTCAATTTTGGAGGTAAAAAGAGGCTCTGTAAGATTATACTCTTGTAGTAAGAGCTAGTAAAGAACTATTTAAAGAGTCTATTCCCCTGAGAGAGTACATCTCTGATATTAAGTGCATTTTGCTGAACACTCTGTATTTCGGGTTGCTGGGTGTACACCAGGCACTGGGATCATTTGGAGGGAAAGGCACAGTAATAATACAACAGACGCAGTGACGTGCTAGCCACCGAGCACTGCAGATCACCCCGTATTTTACTGAGGAGGTGAAGAATATTCTTTATTTTCTTGAAACTGAAGAGCAGACTGATATCATTACTCAAAACTACCTCAGACACACAGCGACAGTCCAACAGCTCAAAATGTCTTCGACCAAACTCTTAGTTACGCCAAATGACACCGGCTGAAGGTTTGGCCCACGAGCTTTTAGGGAGCTGAGCAATTGCTGAGACGGAAGCTGGACTCAAGCATCTACAGTCAGTGTCTGTTGTAAGACCCATTCAACAAAAAAAAAAATAAATATATCAGACACCCCCTCGGTATGCTAAATGCACACAAACACCATCTCTCTCACATGTACGTACATGCCGCTTGTCTCATCTGGTTTTCTTCCCAAGTTAGATGACAGTAAATAAAAATTATCATGAATTTGATAAAATGCCTCAGTGCCCCTTTTTAAGGTCTATAAACACATTCATTAGCCACCAGCTGAACGGATCACTGCTCCGCCAGCCCCCGCGCAGACGTACCCAGCCGCTCTGCCAGGCGCATGTAGATGGGGTCCACTCGCCTCATCGTCTTCACCAGATCCTTCCTGCGGAATTTGATTTCTACCGTCCCCTCTGGTTCCAGGATTCCTCCTCTGATCAGTGACGGGAAAAGAGAAAAGAAAGGCACTTTCAGGTCATCAGACAAGGGGAAACACAAAACGGAATGGTTCAATGTTATCTAGAAAGTATGCAAAAAAAGAAGAGAAGAGAAGGGGGGGAGGGAGACAAAACAAAGAGAAAGAGAGAAGAAGAATCTTAGCTATCGTTTATCCAATGCCACAAACGCACCCCAGGCTTCACAGAATGTCTGTCCAACAGTACACAGCACAGCCTGGTACAAGCAATGCTCTTCGGCAGTCTCTGTTAAGCTGTGACCTGAAAGCTCTTTCAAAAGGTGGGTAAGCTTTAGGAAACGAACCAATTAACCAGCCACTTTCATTAGAGATCCTGCTCACTTCCCAGGTCAAAGACAGAGGGGCACGTGATTTGAAACTTGGGCTCGGTAAATAAAACCACTTCAGTCTTTAACCGTGAGGGTGGGAACAAAGACAAGGAGGAAAGTCAGCGCCGAGGGTTATGGAACAGGAACAGCGACGAGAATTATTACAAATGGGTAACGGTATTAGGGACAGGATGACATATTTTGCAAAATAATCTATTTCTGGAGCTCAAGACCCCTAGAGTGCAACTACACCTCTGCAAACCACACGTGGTCCTTCCTGATGTCTTCCAAGGCGAGGAGCTGGCTTGAGATTTCCAAGAGGTGAGCCCACACTGCCAGCACCCCAGAAAGGTACGGGGCAGAAGCAGCGGGGGGGGGGGGGGGGTTGCTCCTGCGTGCACCCCAAAAAAACACTTGGAGGGGGGAAGGAGTTTGTAGAAAACCTGCTCACTCTGCGTCTGACTGCGAAGCAAACAGGCTCCACCTTTCTAAGTAGGAAAAGAACAGCAAAAACTGATCCCAAGGGGCAAAGATTAGACAACGTTTGCTCAAGATGCAGGAAATACTGGAGGTCAACAGATCACAAGTGTCTCTGTCTCATTTTTTTAGAACAGAGAGAGGCAAAGCTTCCCACCAGGAGCGAAATTCAGCTGGGAAGGGCATGGGAAATGGGCATCTTCTCAACTCCCCTCCATGTATGCTTTCTTTTTCTCCCGCTGGAACAGCTGCCCAGGAATTTTGCCCTGCTGAGATGGTAGGAGCTGAGAGGATGCCCTGTTAGCACAACATTCATGCTGCCCTTCTATCTGCTGCACATAGCCCAGGCAGGGCTGGCTTTTTCCTCCAAATGATTCAGTATCTCTGTATTTTAGAGATTCTTTAAAATATTTTTTTAAAAATTGCTTCCAAGAGTTTGCCTGTAGTTTTATATCCTGAACCACCAGTAACCGGAACTTCACTTACGCAAGTTGTATTTAATCAAAAAACGCAAATACCCAAGTGCCCATGTGACAGATAATACAACGCTCAGGGATTTTAAAGTACACACTTATTTACACTTACTTAATTTGCAAAATTGTATACACAGCGCTTGTTTCAAAGCGCAAAGCAGTGTGTGGAAATATCAGAGTGCTAAAAAAAAAATATCCTAAGCACCAACATCTCGCTCCACTTTGTGAACGTCAGTAATGAACCTTCACAGGGGCTGGCTCAATGGTGACAGAATTTACTCCCATCTAAGTCTGAGCCAGGAGACTATCCGAATTGTCCTAGCTGGGACCACTACACAGCGAACTCCTCCGAGACACCGGTTACAACTGGAAAGTGGTCAGCCCCTACCAGTAACAAACGGCCACGCTCTTAACTGAGCGCTTCACCCTCAGCCAGGTGATTACGCCTCAAAGCAGGTGGTTACGGGGGAGGAGAAAGCTGCCGTACCTGCTTTCTCGGTCTGCGTACATCTCCATATGACGAGGGTTAATGGTGGGGTCAATCACGGCCCAGGAGCCTCCCCTCAGCTCCGCCTGCGGTGGGATGTAGATAAGCACAGGCTGACGGTACTCCCTCAGGCCGTCCACAATGTAGGCACCAAACTTGAGCACTTGGTCGTACATGTCTGCAGAAAAAGGAGACAGAGCCTGAAGTCCCAGCGCGCCAGGGCTTCAGCCCTGCCACGCTTGCTCAAGCTGGGGGGGAAAAAAAACAACCCCACAGTCATTCAGCTCTTCTAACCACCTCCTGCTACCGCACCGCGAGCTCCGGCTGGCGTCACCCGGACCTGAGCAGGACGGACTGAGAAAGGAGACGCTCCCACATCAATCCTGCTCCCAGACGCTCGACCTCCGCTCTGGAGATCTGGTCCAGTTACTTCCAGCATAACATCTCTTCACAAAACATGAACCGCAGGGTCCCCAGTCCAGACCAGCCAGTCCTACACCGTGTGTGCGGGAGAGAATCCACCCCCTCCTTCCCCGGCAAGCCAACGGGTAATTCAGCAGCTGGGGAAGCCAGGCCAGGCGTTTCTGTCCTTACGACGAGCACAGCTGCCCAGTTTCAGCCTTGCTACCACGGAGCTGTATCACGATTCCTGGAATGGGCACGGCCCAAGGCAGCAGACCTTTTGCATAGCTGTATAAAAAGTAGGGTGTGGGAAAGGGTCAGATGCGAAACAGCGTTCTGCTCTTCTTGCATTAAAAGTTAAGGCATTTTGCTCAAAATGACTGAGACCAACTCCACTGTGTAAAGACAGTACATTGAAAATATCAGCCCCAAAGGTGATTTAAATAAAAGAGAAAAAAAACAAAGGGGAAAGAATTTATATGAGATGATATAGTTTGTAATGGATACAGTTTTGTAATGGAAACAGGCACCCTCGAACAGATGTATTTTGTCAGATATAATTATATATCGAAGTATCAAATCAAATATACAAGAAATGAAAAATACTTACTAGGATCATCTAGTCCATCTCTTTGTTCACACAGGACTGTATCCCGTTTCTTTACCAGCGCTCTTTAAAGCTTTTGTTTAGAAATCCCAAGCAATAAATCTACTACTTCTTTAGGGGCATTTCCACAGCCAAATAGATGAAATTTTCCTCAGTATTCAGCCAAACTTCCCCTCCTCCCCCATCCCCATTAATTCCATATTACTGCTCCTTGCATCACCCTACATAATCTCTCCGCTCCTTCAGGCTTGCTATAAATAGCAGTAGGCAGCGGGTTGTTTTTCTCTTCCTTGGACACACTAGAGGTATTCATTTCTCATGTCTCCCAGGACAGTGTTTTCAATCCCCTTCATCATTTTTGTTCTTTGCCTACCGCCTCCCAGTTTGCCGAATTTTTTCTGGCTGTTAAAATACCAGTGCATGGAGCAGAAAAAACTAAGTGGGTTGCATGTCTGTGCCACGCACCGCGCCGGCCTCCAGGAATTGCCTGAAAAGACCGAGACACTTTTATTCATCTAAAATCCTTACAATCACTTGAGAAACCCATCATTTCTGGGGAAGAAAGAGACTCCAGCCAAGGTCCCCTTGGCATTTAACCCCAGTTTAATGTTGAGCAATTAACATGAACATAAGCACTTAACTCTCCGGGGAACACACACGCTCTTACACATACACACCCGCGCCAACGCACACAGAGCAAGCGAGAGGCGCCCATCAAGTGTGTGTACACACGCACACACACAGCACCGTAGGCACTGATGTGACCCCTCCAGTTCATCGGCAAGGTCATTGTCCAAGTACCCAAGAGAAGGAGTTTCACGTTATTTAAGAAATGTCAAATGCTGATGAAGAGACGAACAATTCATTTCCTCTAATTGCGAATAAACATAAATTCTCGCAGAGACAATGGGAACTGAGAACCAAACAAAACTCCAACCTTTTCCTTTGTCCTGAGCAAAGAAAAAGACCTCAAAAGGGGTGACAAATTTATTACTAATTACACAATTATTTTATTATGTAGTGCTAGTAATAAACCACTTGAAGTACTTTCAGCTAATTCTAGTGTTAAGAAAATAATTGCTTGATTCAAATTATTTTAACTGAATTAATTCTTTACTAGACATTTTTTACTAGTGCTACATAATAAAATAATTGTGTAATTAGCAATACATTTTTCACTCCTGCCAAGGGGTATATATTTTACTCAGGTTAAGGGCAGAAAAAAGGAGCCCTCCCTGTTTGAACAAGGCAGAGGGAGAAGGAGCAGAAAAATGAAGACAAACTCGGTGCTTTCTGTGCATAGCTCCAAATCTCCTTCAGGTCTACCAGGTGGCATCAGCAAAGTCAGGGAGGCATTTTCGTGCCCGCAGTGCTTCCAGGATCAGACTGTCAAAGCTACCCAGAAGCACAAACTTTCCCGCTGTGCGGTCCTCTACACAGTTACTCCTTTTGGGACCCTGCAACACAGCACTTCATCTTCCTGGCATGTCCCAGCAGCCTTAGTTTAGGATTTTAGATATGGAGTGACACTCGCTGCTGGCTTCTCCTGCACGCTCAGAACTTCCACGGAGGTCAGTGGACCTGCTGCTGCACTCTCGGGCTACAGATACACCTTAGTACTGTCAGAGCTGTCTGTAAACTCCTCTGCTGTAGAGGATTTCCCCTTTTTTTTTTTTAAGGTAACTGCTTCCACTAACAGAGATGTGGAGGTGCAAACACCAGCAGGACGTGTAGCTGTGAGCCCCGACCACGTAAGGAACAGAGACCAAGTTTTGCTCAAACCAGGACGAGGCAATCAACCTGACTGCCACCACCGAAGGGTCCCCATGGTGCCACGCACCGCTCCAGGCCACGGAAGCTGCTGAGCTCCAGAGACGAGCCAAGGGGAACCTCAGTGTCCGCAGGCTACGGAAGGGTTCCTGCTCTTCTGTAGGGTTTTCCCCTCCCGCCATCTCAGCCGTTCAATTCGCCTACACTTACGACTTCGGCAAACTGGGGACTCTTACAGAATGTTACGTTTTTAGGAGGTAAAATACAAGTAGAGTTGATGAAGATCATAAAAACACTGCAAAGACCACCTGCCTGTAGTCCCTGTGCCCAATCACCACAACACACAACCTCCCTGATCTACGTTAATACTGTATTTGAGAGTGAAACTACGAAACACTTGCCATCCTGTGACAACCGCCTCTTATTTGCAGTTTTGCTGCATTCTCCGCTCTTACAATGGAAAGTGTCACTGCTGCAGGAGGTAAACGATGCCAGCTCCCAACGGTGCCCACTGCTCTGCGCCCGAGCTGCCCGCGCAGCCTTCGTGCCCTGGCAGGGTGCAGACTCTGTCAAGTGTTGATACCGTCACGAACACCCTTACTATGTTTCAGACAAAACCCAATCGCTTCCATCGTCACCCACCGTGCAGCAAAGAACCCCGCACACGTTTTTAAGAGCAGGCTGTTCGCGTAACTGCTCTTGCGAAGGAGTTGCTGATGTTGAGAGTGGAAAAATTAAAGTGACATATTATATTTGTGGGCCCAATTTAATTTAAACGTCAGCATAATAAGCCACTTGCAAGACAGAAATGCTGCAGAAGTCCTGTAGGAAGAGCAGCGCTGTTGGCTATTCAGCAGGGCAGGCCGTGTTCGCAGCACACCTTCCCATCCTCTGCCTGCCTGCTCAGCTGCAGTGTGCCTCAGCGGCTACTACACAGGGACACGAAATCGCCTGGAAGCTGTTATCACGACGCTGTATGTGTAAATATTGGCAGTCAGACGCATCCAGCACGCTAGAAAGGCTGCAGACAGCTTTTTGCATTTCCATCGCGTCGGGCAGCGTGCCCTGAACCTCCAAAGCTGGAACGGATCTCATCGGCTTGGCTGGATTATCAGATAGGACCTGAAGGTAAACACCAGGCATCCACTGGCTGCAGACACATCATGTCCCTCGTAAACCCATTACAGACAAGCAATACCGCCATTCAACACCCAGGTAATCAGAGATTTAAACCAGCCTTTTCATTCCGCCGGAATTTTTTTTTTTTTTTTATTGTTATTTATAACCTGTCCCAGGAAAAAAATAATAAGTAAAACATGAAAAGCCAACTGCGAGTGACCCTGTAGCACAAGCAGCGCTGCAGTTTAATGTCGCGGGGATTTGCATGCTATCAAACTATTCATGCCGAGTCCAAGACCCTGGTGCTAATTTCCAGTGAATTTCACGCTTGATGTCTCCCCGTTGTGGGTCACTGCCGGTTCGCCTAAATAAACCACTTCCAAATGGCTCCTCCATCTAAATATTCAAGCCCGTTTTTATAATTTAATTTTGCATTATGCTGAATAGCCTTCTGGCCAGATAGAGCTCATTGGGGAAACCACCAATACCACTGCGATATGCCTTTATTTATGTTTTTTATTTATTTATTTATTTTACAGCTTGAATTAGACCTCCTAGGCTGACTAGGAAAGAGGGTTGGTTTTTTTCCCCTCTCTTTTTTTCAACCCCCCCCTCCACTAATGTCAATTTTCAGCATAGCAAGAGCTGTCTCTAATCTTTTCCTACTCATTACACACAATTTTGGAGTCATTTTACCCACAGTGCAGTCGGCTCCTGGCAGTGTGTTTGTGTGCACTGAGGGGTGGCATAATTGTTTATTTTCCCTCCCTGCATAATCCCCAGCCAGCACTGAAACCAAAACTGCAAACAACTCCCCAGGGAAGGCAGGGAGCGTCAGGAGAGCCCAACGGTGGCGACGCGGGCCCCGACAGCAAGCGGGAGGCAGGAAAACGCACGGCCCGAGGTGCAAACGGCGAGGGCTCTGCTCCTCCCTCCCCTCCCCTCCCCTCCTCCTGCCGCCAGCTGGGGGGCAGCAAGCGGGGGTACGCCATACAGATGAGCATCCCTGCGGTGCCTTTTCCACCTTGGGCTTCCAGGCCCAGCTCCAAAGCTAAACTCAGTTTCTGAGGAACCCAAAGGGCACCGGCCAAGCCGACAGATCTCCAACATCGGAAGGCAAAACAATATCTTAACAAAGAGGTGAAGTTACAGCAACAGCTTCCCTGTAGTTGTTAGGGAAAGCAAGTCCCGAAGGGAGTGCAGTAGCAGCACACAGGGCAGAAACCATCCTGAAAGGTAACAGGGATTTTCCAGAGGAAAGAGTTTGGCCATATTTCGCCGTCCTCCACCTTCGCAGCTGCAAACTCAGTGGCATTGCTTTCTGCCCCGCTACTGAGGCAGCAGAGCAAGACAGCCCTTGTCACCCTGCGAGTCCTTCCGGAGCAGGAACTGTCACGGTGTCAGTGCAGCTGTAACTTTTCTTCCATGTTTGTTAACCGCCACATGCAGGTAAGAGGCCATATTCCTTTACTTATTTCAATTTTATAGCATCAGTCCCACGTTCTTGGCAGTTCACAAAATTTAAAGTAGCAATATGTGGTGCAGAAAGGTAACTGCTGGTATATTAACTGAGCAGTTTGTAACTGTTCACTCCCTCACTACCACCAGAAGAGTCACCTGGGAGACAGTCCATGATAGGACAGGGTTACAGTGGGAAAACTCATCAGTAAGACAACGTTGACAGAATACGCCTGTACACTTTTGATATGCAATATTGTGGGCTTATCCAGCCCCGCTTTTCAGCTGAGGCAGAAGAATATAAAGCTTTCTGAACAGAAGGGGTTTCCTGAGATTAGTGTTTTAACTAGCCCAGGTTGGCAGCTGTAAATTTGGTTAGCAACGAGACCACCGTTAGCATCCAATTACCTGTTCTCACCGAAGATCAGGCTCGATCGGACTGAATGATCTTCAAGGTCTTTTCCAACCTAAATGATCCTATGATCTGGTCAGTTCCTCTAACTGTATATAAAAATACAGTTGTGTTGCATATTTTGAAAAGAATTTGGTATCCAATTTGCACCTTGCATGTTCTATGCTATTCCTGCTATGTGCCTATTAAAAACAAGAGACGCACGGGGAGGGGAGGAACGACACTTTCTCACCACAGCTACTGCAGTGCAGAGCACCCCTGCTCTCTGGCTGGCGGTGCAACGACCACAACGGACTTTCAGGAGAGCCAGACAGAGCATTGCTGTGATTTCAGAGGGCTGACGTGTCCAAACTCTCCGGCAGGCCTAGAAAAGTATCGCTTTATCGGCATTTCTAGGGGAGGTCACACACTTGCCCCGAAAGCGTGGGGCTGGGTGCAGACGGTGTCGACACGGGCGAAGCAGATCCACTCCGCAAGTTTATGGGTACAAGTTGTCACCAGAGTGCAACTGTGTTAAGCCAATCTAACAGCCAGCCGCTGCCCCAAGACAGCACCTACTGCTTCTGTCCCTTGCCACACACTCCCACGGCCGGTCTGTCCCCAGAGAACTGCGTCAGGATGCTAAAGCAGTTGCCAGCGGGTGCGCCAACAAGCCGCTCTACAGGACACCGCCAACAGGGAATCCAAATGGATGGTTACCTTTCATTCCACCCGAGAAGCCTCTCCAGTTAGCAAAGACCATCAGGGGCAGCCCTTCTCTGTTGAAGTCATTGATAGCCTGCGCAGTCTTAAAGGCAGAGTCAGGGAACCACACCTGACCAGCCTGCTGGATTATCTGTTGGGAATGAAAAAAAAGACCGTTAAGCCTTGAAACTCATTAACGTAAGAGTTGGGATAAAAACACAGAATTAGATACACCAAGAGCTGTGATGTGGAATTAACAACGAGGAACGCAGCGCAGGAAGTGCTTAGGATCTGCTTGCCCATAGAAAAGTGGTGACAACCCTTTCCCACCAACATCAACACACGTGTTCCCACCAATTTAGCTAAGAAGAAGAACAGAGATGGTATGGAAAACCTGACACACTGACTGCTGTAAGAAGGTGAAGAAGAGAGAGAAAAGGATATGCAAAGGAGAAAACCCCAAAGAGATGATGTAAGGCCAGAGGTGTGAAATCAGGAAGGAGAAGAGCAAAGTATCAGAGCAGAAAGACCATGAAACACTATGGTCACATCAAGACAACGGGGAAATGATTTTTCCTTGCCAGATCTCCCGGGCCCTAGTCCCTGCCCCTCGCTTAAGTCACAAGAGAAGCAGGACTGCTGGGGAACGCGTCTCCCGTACGAGTGGCCAACAGCAACTGCCATGCACTAGCGCCTCTCCAAGGAACAGCCATACTTTTTGTTCCATGTTTGGGGAAAAATGAAATCCCATCAAAACAAGTGCTCTTCCCACAGAGACATTTACAGAGGACAAACAAGCAACCGAGCACCCGTTCAACCTACCTTGGCCTCAGAGTCCAGGTTTGCAGGATCAGCAGGGATGCTGAGCTCCACCGTTCTCGTTTCTACGGCAACTACTCCTACAGGTATTCCTCCCAGCCTGGCAACATGCGAGACAAATAAAAATCTGTATTTCTACTGTTACACAACTAGACATTTTTTCCAATTTGCATCAAAAGACTCAAGAGACAAATAACGCAAGCATCTGGCGGAAGAAGCATTCTGGCCTTTTTGAAGGCTTTAGGCAGGTGGCTGGAGAACTTCAGGGTAGAAGCCACAGTTCTCAAAGCCAAATCGGGTTCTAAAAACTAGCACATACCTCACTAAAAGTTAAACAGAATAAATCAAAGCCCAAATTTTGAACCACATAGCTACATCTCTACCTGCCACCACAAAGAGTTTGATACTGATGGTCAAGACCCACGAAAAAGAAAGACCCCAAGGCTTCCGAGGCCTGTTTTCACAAGCACTGTCCGCTGATGAAACACACCCAGAGGCTGCACGTCTAAGCAACGCTGATGTCTCAGCCACCCTAAAGCTTGCAAAAACTCCCTCTCCCAAGAGGTCAGGGGGCACGACGGGTGGAAGGGTTGGGTTTGCCCATCTATCTCCTCCCCAGACCCTCTGCTGCAGGGTGACTGCAAGGGCGGGAAGGGTGCAGGGCCAGCGGGATGGGCAGGGAGCACCAGGGAGGACGCTCGGCTCCGCTTTCCACGGCGTCTAACTACTCCTTTACACAAAAGGCATCTCGCTTGCGATGACAACCGCTTACTCCCAGGACGGGAGTCCCAGCAGAGCCTCCGCTCCCTCCTCAACCACCTCAAGCTGGATGACACGTGCTGCAGGCAGCAAAAGCGACAAGGCCTGTGTGCACTAGGGGGTTGAAAATATTCCCATTCGCTATGATTAAGAGTCTGCCTAGAAACCCGTAATTGCAGAAGCCGTCTTAAATCGGTAACTTATAACTTCTATATTAGGGCCCATGTGACCTAATAAAGAACATCTTTATCCAAGTATTACAGTTATTTATTGAACTTGAAAACAGCTCAAAACAACTTCTGTTTTCCATTATACTTCATATAAATTTTATCAGGCTAGCACATGAAGATGCTACATCTTGTTTTATAGTGTGTCCCCGGACAAGTTGCCATAGAATAATAAAAGACAATTTACAGCCAACAGCACACGTATTCCAAACATACATACAAAAGATGAGTTTTGGCAGCACTTACAGTAACAATCCCAGAAGAATACATTCCTATTTGTTTTTTCAAAATGCCACTGCTTTTGAAAGAAGTCAGTTTTATTTGTATTATATATACCTGTGATGTGAGAGTTCAAAGCAACTTGGAATTTGTCAGAAGAAAGGAACTGCAAGTGAAGCGGAGCATGGGCCTGGACAGAGACCTTGTAGCTTTGTCAAATCATTGATTTCCTCTTGCCCCCCCGCACGCTGCTTAACCTACAAGCCTTTCCATAATTACAGGACGTTGTGAGATAAAACTTTAAGAGTGTCACGGATGGCAGATAAAAATACCAAAGTGCATCAAAAGGTCAGAGGACATCCCAAGGTTACGTGCTACAATTAGGAGTGGAGCCAGCAGGTATTTTCAGCTCCTCTCAACAATGTATAGAGACCAGGCAATATTCTGAGTGGAAAGGATCTTCAGGGGTAACAGCACTCAGACCCCCGGGACCAGCAGTGGCCAGAGACATGAAACTCCGAGAAGGCAGAGCTGAGCTGGCCCCACACACGGACGCCCCTCTGGCTCGGCAGCAGTTCACCTCTAGCCGGGCTTGTGCAGCCCGTACACCACCACGCTGCTCTGTCTTCAGCACAGGCTCCTCCTCCGGTCTCTGAGGAAATGGCCATGTTTCTCTAGATCTGCACTAGGAGAGTCCAAAGGCAGTTCTCAGCCCATCAAAGACCCTCAAAAGTCTTATGAAAAGGCATTTCGCTGAGCTCACCCTCGTATCTGGAAACCTCCTTCAGTTATTTCGCAGCATTTCATGAACGTATCAGCAGAGCTCCTGATGGCCGTTTTAGAGATGTCCAGAACGGACACAACCCTTTGCACATGAGCTCCAGCGAATGCCACAAGCTTTGCTATTTCGTAGCGTGGCCTCTAGCTCTCTGCCCCTCATTAGGAGGTCTCTGTAGAGCTGGGACTTCAAAAAGTCTAAAAGAGAAACGAGAGCTCCCAGTGCCAAATATTCTGGGGCCACGTGTGCTATCAACATAATGGAGATAAGAAACAGCAGTGACTCCTGGCTGTACTGGCTGGGAGCCTAGGTGGCCAGCCCAGCTGCGCTGCGTGTGTCAGGAACGGTGGTGTCTCTCCGGGTCTCCCACTGAATGCTCTGCCCATCAAACACAGCATTCCAGGGACAACCCGGTACTACGGTCAGTCCTCGAGGCACCAACTGGGTGAGGCTAGAGGGTGATGGGAGTCAGACCCCGGGGTGGCCACAGGATTTCCAGAAGATTGTAAGCATTATCAAGTAATCTGGCTCTGGATTGTTGGCACTGTGATACTGACAGTACAGGAGGTGAAAGATCTGTAAATAAAAGATTTTTTCTTTGATGCAGACTCCTGCCAGGAACTAAGGCACTCTGAGCACCCGTCATGCACGGGCACGACCGAATCTCATTAAGTGCATCACCTGAAGCCTCCAGGATCCCATTCAGGCACTTCAGATTTTTTTTCCTCCCCTCTCACTTGCTATCATAAAAAAAAAAGAAAAGAAAAAGGCTGACAATTAACCAAAACCACTGACATCAATTAGGAGCTGGGAGTCTGCTGGAGGCAAGAGTATGAAGCTCCGTCTCGAGAGGAGAGCTGGCGGTAGTCTGAGGAATGAGGAGTGACAAAGGAGAAGCACGCTGCATTTGGACAGCTCAAGCACTTCAGTGGAAACTCAAGGGAGATAAATGTGCTCTTTCAAAACGGCTTTATTCTGGGAGGAAGGAGACAATCAGATCAGGAAACTCGCAGCGTGACTGGGGCGAGGGGGGCAAAAAACTAAAGAGGAACTCAAAAGGAGGTGATCGAGGGGGTTTTGAGCCCAGCTCTGATTTGCATTCTGTCAAAATACAGGATCCTGTCTCGAGGCTTCTGCTTCCTGCCAGCTCCGAGAGCTCATGGACCTGCCCCCCCGAGAACGACCCAGGCTGCAAATATTTTCGAGGCAGGGATGTAGGTCTCGAGGCAAGGGGGAACATTTCAGAATCCTGCAGGGAGGCCACTTCGCAGCAAGGTAAGGGGAAGGGAGTCCCCTCGGGAGGAGGCGAGGGCCACAGGTCTCTGGAGCCGCACCTCCCCGCATCATGGAAAACAACTAAGATCAGGTGGGGTGGGTGCTTGCTTGGAAAACGCTGTAGGTTATTGCATGCACACCTCAACGTTAAGCTCTTCTCTATGCGGAGTTTCTGGCAGTTTGCTCTAGTTTTAGCTGAACTTTTCTTGCAAGTCAAATAAAACGCAAACCAATAAACTGGGAAACGTACTTCCAACTAAATCAGAGCTGCAGGAAGGTCTCGCTATGCAACCATGTACCTAGGGAAACATATATTGTCTGCCACAGTTTTTAACATTCTCTCTTCTTTTTGGCTTTTGTGCATGTTAAAGCTGTCACCTCCAAGCAAAACAGGAGAAACGATCACACCATGCTTCATTTGTGTGTTAAAGAACTATTCACTTATTTTTACTTACAGCCATCAACTTTCAAAGGATGTTCTAGAAGAACACAAAGCACAACGAAAACTTGATTTCTACAAACGTCTAGAACGTCTCTTAGAATTTACCTTGCTCTACCAACCACAACCGTCTGCGCCCAGGGCTGCATGATCTCCAGGAACGAGCCATTGTCAAAGAAACCACTTAGCCACTGTCCTTTTTGACCTGAAGGGAAGGGAAAAAAATGGAAATATCAGAGGAGGGAGGGAAGAAAGAATATCCAAGGAGCCACTGAAACTTGCTTAAAAATGCCAACTGGAGAATGTGGCACTGCCTTTTTATTTATTTATTTTTAAATAGATTATAATACAAGGGAACATTAGACAGCTGAGCATTTGTCTGCCTTCAGCCATCATGTCTTATTTCATTTGCTAGTCTGCATAAAGACAGTAATTTATCAGCAAAAGCATCATTTATTGTTAAACGATGGGGTTCGGATAGCAGAGGGACTTCGCATGCTTTTAAATAAATAACTCTGTTTTTTTCAAGACACTACAAACATTCGTCAAAAGGCAGTAAAGTCATTAAAGATGTTTTTCAAAATGCCTATTTCTATTTTAAAACGTATCTCGCATTTTTCTCTCGATTCTGCCTAACCTTTCCTTTAAAGAAAGAATGCTGAAGAAATTCGGACACGAAATATAAAAATTTCTATGATGTTTTAAAACTAGACCACGCATCCGAGCCCTGTTTCACACCTGCTTTTAGAAAAACCGAAGCGAAGTACTCTGAGACCCAAAGCCTGCTTGCTCTGCAGCAGACACCAGATGATGCTCCTCTCCCCAGACTGAAGCGTGCTTTAGGAGGCACCGTCCTGGATCAGACCACACGCTATCAGACCTATTCTCCTTGCCCACAGAAGGGAGCAACTTCCTAACGCTTGAGAGAAAACCAAACTGTTCCCAAAAAGAACATTACCAAGATGATTGTGCAGTTCTAGGAGAAAGAAACTTTTCCTGAGCCTTGCAGACAATCAGCTTCTACCCCAAAGTATAAGGGCTTGACTGCCCTGGTCATGCTAACCATGAACCAGCATTATCTGGGCTTTATAAAGCCAGGAGGGTGTCAGGCTTGGGGTTCCTCCTGCACCACAGACTCCACTATACTGACAATACCTCTCCACTTCCACATGCAACAGCATTCACTAACAATCCACACACATTCCTCCAAACAGAATTCTCAGGATGGCAGTCACCCCCCCGGGAAGCGGGGTGGCAGTTTAAGGTGTATTTCTCTACTTTCCAGGGGTGTTTCTTACGCGGGCACGAAAGACACCTCGAATGAGTGAAGCCTCACTACGCCGACCTGTGCGGTGGCACGGCACTGCTTCCTCTCTCCAGACACGGAGACCCCGGCAGGAAGTTTTCCAGTATTTCAGCTTGGATTCTACTCAGTGAACGGGTAAGGCCACGATGAAGAGCTTTCATTGGGGCTGCCTGTTGATGCTGGGCTGGGGAGGGACACGTAAGACTTGCAGACAGCTCCTTCTGCAGCCCTCCAGCCTGCGGAAGCCGCGTATCCCAAAGTCAAGGCAGCGAGCTACTCTGCCCACCCAGACAATTACAGAAATCACAGCTCTCTGAGGGCGCCCGCTTTCCACTGGGGCTTCATGAAGCTCTGCAAAAACCCCCCAAAAACTACCACCCAAAATCCCTCCCGGCTTTACCCCCTGGCACACAGCTTCTGAGGAACGCTTTAATCTGAACAAGCACCTTTGCTTCTGCAAACCCAAGTCCAAAACCAATTAAAAGTGGAGATCCAAGCAAGCTAACCTCTGCTGACTTAAACAGGATGGAGAGTGTTTTATCAAGACCAAACTTGTAATTACTGTGTTCTACATTCCTTGCCTCTGTGGCCCCACTGTAAAATGTGACCATCCATTTCAAAATTATCTCTTTATCGTGAGCCCAAAGCTGATCGTTTAGATTCTGGCCTCGTGTCGGGCGTCAGTTTGAAGAATATCACGGCAATATCTCCTCTAATAAATGGCTTTAACTTTTCACCTAGGAGATATCTGCTTTAACTTATCACAGGGAATCATCTGCTTTCCTTAACGCTTCCACTAAATTAAAATCTGAAGTCACTCGATTTGGAAGCCAGCGTTAGCTGTGCTCAGACAGCTGGATGAATTACTTGAGAGATGATGAAAAAATATTATCCAAAACCAGAAAACTTAGTTTATCACAAATCTTATTTTAGCCCCCCAAACTCATTAATAACAGCAGGCATAATGGTCACCCAGTTTGCAGCTTGTACGTACACAGGCTGCACAACCCCAAAAGCATGCATGGGGGGTTCAGGGGTTTGCAGCATTTCCAGCGCAAATGTTCTCCAAGATCCGCAGGAATAGCGCGATTCCTTTAGCGTACAGATCCTTTGGATATGGACCTTCCCCTGAACCATTAAAAAAAAAGAAAATCTAGAAAAGTAACTAGTAATTGTAGGTGTCCTTGAGGACTCATAATTTTTATATATTATATCCAAATTGTTTCAAACTAGTTACTTTATAAGCTCTGAAACATATTTGGATTGCAGACATAAAGGCTTGACCAACAGGCTTGAAACAAGACGCACCACTGCCTATCCTGGCCACCAAAGATCTACGTACTTGGATTTGGGCGCCCAGCCAGCATCCAGCGAGGATCATAGGGAGTCTTGGTAGGCACGAACTCTATGGTTCTTTCTATAGGATCCTTGACTTTGAGGATAGGAACAGGGCTGTATACACTCTACGGGAAAAAGAAAAATATCGAAGGAAGTCATTCCCCTGCATGGCTTTGCACCAAACACCAGCTCTCAGCCAGCTCGTCAGAGTCCTCTTTTCCCCCCCCACTGCATCAACCTTCGACTGACGGGATCCCAAAGCCTTGGCAAGAGCCTGAAGAAACTTCCAAGGGGCTCCACACACTCTCAAACCCTCCTTTGGCATCGTCTGGCATACATCGTACTTCATTTGCTCTTGAACTTCAGGCACAGCCAGCATTAGCGAGGGGTTGCAATTTAATTTTTGAAAGGTCACCAGGCCACCTGACTCATTCTAGGCACTCTTTCCTGAAGGAAGGTGACCTGCGTGTTCTTGTTGCTGCCTTCCTGGCTGCAGAGCAGCTTACACATATACATCAGCTCCTACAAATTACTGCCTCAGAGGGGAACTTTTAGAGTCTTTTCGGCACGAGACGATCCACCGCTCACATACAATCCTGCTGCCCAGAGTACTGAGGGCAGCACGACAGGGGAGGGACGTGAAAGTGCCCAAGGCAGCGCCAGGCTGCCCTGCACCCCAGTTCCCGCAGCACTTTAAGACAGAACCACCGTGTTTACTCCACTACCATAACGCTCAGCAGCCCTGATGACGAGCCCAGACCATTCTGCCAGGCACCACACAAACACAGAGAGAACCCCGCAGGTCCAGAGCGCCCCCCACCCGCCAAAACCCTGTGCACACGGCGAACAGGGAGCAGCACCTGGCGCCGCCGCGGGGCCGGGCGTTACCTTTGGCATGTAGGAAAGCCACTGCAGGATCGTGTAGACGCCTTCGAAGTCATCGCACACCGTGCTGTGCGTCACCCCGTTGTTGTGCATGATCTGGATCCCGCCCAGCTGGTTGTTGGAGGTATAAACTTCCCGTCCAAGCACCTTTTGAAAGAAAACCAGGAAAACCATCAGCGGATGAGATGTGACAAGGAGGTGTTGGCTAAGGAAATACGTACACGCCCATCCCTGCAGCAAGTCACGATCACTTCAACATCAAAGGATGGAGTAAATCACCCACCGTAGAAGCCCTGCGTGCAGGTAAGACCTTAGGAATCGTGATCCCTGAGGGGAATGACAAGTGGGGAAACTGAGGCAGAGGGCAGTTAGAGGACTTGCCCTTCCCCAAGCAGCAACAGAGCTGACAATGTGACCCAGTGTCCTGGGTGCCAGCCCGAGCTCAGCTCGCTAATTCAAAATTGCTCCAACTAAGACGACTAGTCAGGCGGATCCATTTAAACCTTTAACTGGGGAAAAAAGCCAACAGTGTGCCTAAAGACTGGTGCAGCAAAGACAAAGCCCCACCAGCTCCTTAGAGAGACTGGGCAGAATAAGACTCTGACTGCTGGGCTTCTAATTCTCTTGCACAGCTCCATCTCTAATCTCAGCCCAGGCACCGCAGCTCTTTTCTCATTCTCCTGCTGTCTCTTTCCATTTGCCCTCTCACTGACTGATACACTGATCTCTCGGTCACTCGGCTTTCTGCTCCACTGAGTCCATATTACTAATAACACCTCTGCCACGGCCAGTTTACCTCATGAAGGCAGGAGCACATCATTACAAAATAAACTCATAACTTTGACATTCTAGCAAATACATGCCGTTTGTTATTTTTATGGGTTGAGTCTTTCTAACAGACAGAGGGCATTACATACCTGCTTCATTTAGAGCTTTAAAAAACCCCTCAAACACACACAAACAACCTGCCCTCCCCTACCAAACCACCAGTGCAGCTCATTTTAAGAAGAAGGGCTACTCCAAGAGAGGAGCAGCCCGGAGCCCAAGGCAACCCGGTCCTTACGGAAGGGATGCTCTGGTCTGACTTCGTCCTCATCCTGACATCCTACAATGAGCCACTCGGGACGTAACTCATCTCATCCACAGTAGAGGGGAACTCCACACTTCTCAGGATTTGACCTTTTGGGCTGAATGTAAGAAGGTGCTAAAGGGATATGAAAATAGACAATTTTGATCTGGTTATAAAACTACACTGGGCCAATTCGCTTTCTTCCTGCACACCACCAGTTAACCCCAGCTGGGGTCAGGGAGCCATTGTGCCCATCTAAAGCACTGCCTAACCGGTAAGGCACAACGCTACCGTGTCCTAACTCCAAATTTGATTTCCTTTGGAGGAGAAAAGGCCTGGCGGTCTGGCATTTCACAAAACTCAGCATCTTACAAGCGCTAGATGATCCTCACAAAACTCCCCGTGAGACAGACGTCAGTGGAGGTTTACCAACAGAAGAAACTGAGGCACAGGAGTTACGCAACTAGCCCCAAAATTTAGAAGTCAATGCAAGCATTGTGGTTTTGCACAGAGACGTTCCTGGGTCTGCCTTCTGAGATCAAACACCTTCATCTTCCCCTAACAAAATCAGTGCCACGAAAAGGCACGGTAGAAGAGACAGCAGCATAGATTTAGGTTCAAGGAAAAGAAAAGCATAGGCCTCCAGATGCCAGGCAGGCCTAGCTAAATGCTTTCCACAGAGGAAAATAAAAATAAAGAGGATTTAAACTCCCCATCTATGAACTAATGCAAACATATGTACATGCAAAATGGGCCTCTGCTGCTGCTTATCTAGAGACACTGTAGACAGCTCAGGTTTACCACTGCTGACAGGCAATGAAAACAGTCTAATATACCGCCTGCTCTCGCCCTTAAATCCCTTTTTGGAGATCAAGATAAATATGCAGTTCCTTTTCCCGAGTGCTCCAGACATTTCAGTGAAGTGGCAGAGCATTGTGAGGGGCTGTGCCAATGAAATCCCTCTGTAAGGCTGGGCGAGCACAGTATTTACTTGTCAGTGCTTGTCAGCGGAGGCGACGCAGTCCCCAGCTGCACCTAAAAGTTGCGCTGACGACGAGCGCTCGGCGCCTTCGTTTGTACGGCGTGTACGTCCTCACGTGTGGGCCCGCACCGGTGCCGAGGGCAGCGGGAGGGACACGGCGTATGGGCACACGCCAGCTCTAAATCAGACCCCGGCCGAGGCACAGGCCGACCGCAAAGCCAGCTACTCGGCTCCCCAGTGCGGCAACCGCGCAGCCAAGGGGTTAGAGAGGCTGTCCTCCAGGGACACTGCTGGGCTGGGTGCTGGTCCCCCAACCTGCTTCTGCCCGTGGGCTCTTCTGTCTCCTCAGAGATCCTGCCAGCTTGTTTCAGGCATACAGCTGCAGGCTGAATTGGGTGCCAGAGGTTAAAAGGCACCGAAGGGCTAGCCAGCTTAGAGACAGTGATCATTGGGCCCGAGAAAAAAAATGAACGCAACAGCTCATCCATTCAGCTCTGCTAACCACCTCATCTCTGACCTCAGAGGACTACATTTTTAAAGGCTGACAAGTAATTCAATCTCCAATTAACAATCTTAAATGGTGCAATGCATATTGCTGTATAAATGTTTCTGCAAGAAAATATCCAAGGGTGAAAGAGAATACATCTGTGGAGAAGTCCAAAACTGATGTTCCTCCACAAGACACACGGTCAGCTGAGGCACGAGTGGATTTAGAAACGTTGCCGGCTCAGTTAGTCAGGTAAGGCTAGAAACAAACTCGTGGGAGAAAAGACTGCACAGGATTCAACCCTGTACCTGGTATGACCAGGATTTGCCAAAATGGTGAACTTCAAACGCTGAGGGGTTGGGTCTGCCAGGGAGGTACGCCGAGTCACGTGAAGCAGGAGGTTAAGAAGCGAACGCAGCTTTGGCCCAAGGCTTATGGAATGCAACTGTTTAACGACCAAGCACGTGCACGGAAGGGTTAAGTTTGCAAAGCAGTGCCCTCCCCAGCAGAAAGGTTACTAGCACTCCAGGGAACAAAGATGCAGCTACCAGAGTCCGCTGCCACAGACCAGAGACCAAGAAAGGTCCAGCATGAGGGTGGGAAAGAACAGGTTCCAGGATACACAACACACGTATACCTGAATATTGGCCATATTAGACCTCTGATCTTGTGCTTAATCTGATGGCAAAAACAGCCAAAAAAGAGCAGCCATGAACAGCAGAGCACCAGACAGCAAGCTTCCGGCACCGGAAAATCTGCTTTAAATTAAAATCCTTTCCTACCCCACGAAAGCTCAGAAACCTGTTTCTGTCCACCTGGAGTTAACATGCTACCGTCAAAGGAACCTACTGTGGGTGACTGGCCCCACCCAGAGATCCCAAACTTGCCCTTCCTGAGGTCTCTAGCGAGGACCCCTCAGTGCTGTTACTACTCCTTTCCTACACGTTCTCCCAGCGCCTTTGCACTTTGGATGTAATTTCCCTTTTCCAGTTCAGCAGCAGCGGGTCTGACGTTGCCGAGCGAGGTGCAGCTGCCCCCTGCACTGGAAGGTGCTGGCCAACAGGTCCGCTTTCCCTTCCACCGGCCCTCTGCCCCTCCAGGCACCAGCATTAACCATAACTAATAAAGCAGGACTGCCACCACCTTCCCCTTCCGTACTGGATGCCAAGCAGCCTCCCGGTGACTCGGGACCCAGGTCGGGTTCGGATGAGCCGCTCAGTCTCGCCTTCCTTTGCTCCTGAAGACAGAGCTCTCGAGCGTGCTGGAAGCAGCGCATTGAACAGGGTAACACGGGACAAAAGGCTTCTGCTGTGCCCCCACCTCAGCCAAGGGATGAGGACAGCGGTGGTCAGAGGGCAACGCTAGTTCTAGACCTGCACATGTCGAAGCTCAGCCCATGACTGCAAGAACACACACCGTTTCCCAGATCAGGCAACCTTCGATACCACACGCTTACAAAATACAGGGGCAGAATTGCCAGCACTTACTGCATCTGGTCCTCCAAAAGCCACTCTCCCTACCGTAACGGGGAACCACATTTCTTTCTACTTCGGAGGACCTTTTGGAAAGCACAAAGGAGAGCCAGGATTTTAGCAGCCTTTCCAGCCTTTAAAAGAGCGTCCTCAACAGGTTCAGAGGCACGTCATACACATATTAATAATTTTCTAGCGCTCAAACCCATGATGACCAGCTGCTTTCTCCGTGCTCCTTTTCAGAAGCTGAGCTGCTAGTTAGTTGAGACATTCAGTGCGAAGCTGGTTTGGCTGCAAACTGGATTGGCTCATATGTTTCATCAAGGATGAAAGATGTGAAAAAATGACAGCAGAGGGCTTGAATGGGAATCATTATGTAACATAAGTGCTGTTATTATTCAGAGCATATCATGTGTTTATATCAGATATAAGTGCCAGATTTTTATCCGAATAATTTCAATAATTGCAATTCCCATCCCACAATTTATATTATCTGCCAGAAACCTGAAGCAGAAAAGGCACATGCACATACTATAAATAGCCTATTTTTCATAAACAGGCAGAAATGATCAGAATGAATGTCTCATCAGAAAACACAATGTAGGAACTTAAAACCTGACTGCTATTATGTGCAGTCAAGCCTCAACAGATCTTACAGTGCTCGCTTCTATCACTCGGCTCTCCCCCCACGCACATCATGTCACTAGAGAGCCGAACAGCAGCAGCGCCGACGAGGAGATCCCAGCGGAGGTGGGACGCCAGCGAGAGCCGCGCTCCCCAACAGACCCGATCCCGAGCCTCCGGCTGACTCGCCCTCTCCTCCCTGCCCGCGCACGGACTGCGCCCCTCGCATCGCTAATCTGTGAACGTGTGCAGCTCCCGCACTTTTAATTTACGAGCGTTCTGGGGGGGGG